ATCACTACTCCCATATCTGTTCCTGAGGGGTCATGTCTGTGTCATGAGCTCTTATCTAAACCAGTGTACGTGGTCCGGTCTAGCCAGAACTAAAAGGCAGGACTGGGGTCGTGATCATGTAAAACATCGGCCACTGGAAACACTTTGGAGCCCAGTTCTACTCTGACACGCACGGGGTCACCATGGGCTGTAACTGGTTTGGTTGGCTATGCTTCCTGATGGCTGGCGCGGGGCCCGTTCCTGGTGGTAGGAGCTATGGCAGGTGCTGGAGCTTGGTGCAGTCTCTGAGCACCACCCCTTCCCGTGAATATCCTAGGAGAGCCTTGACCTCTCCTCAGAGTTCTGGTTCTCTCTCCCTGCCTCCCCCACCCCAGGACGATCTCAGCCAGCACCCAGGTGCAGGGAGGAGACGTCAACCTGTATGAGAACATGCGCTGCCACGGCGTGCCGCTGGTCACCATCAGCCGGGGCCGTGTGGTGTATGAGAACGGTGTCTTCATGTGCGCTGAGGGCACCGGCAAGTTCTGCCCGCTGCGGTCCTTCCCGGACACTGTCTACAAGAAGCTGGTCCAGAGAGAGAAGGTAAGGTGGGGCGGGCAGGGAGATGCAGGGGAAGAGGGTGAAGCTGGCCACCCCTGCTGGGGACCATGTCTCCTTCTGTTGTCCCATGGGATCCCATGGCTTGGAACGGTTTTTCAGCCCCGGCCACTAGACACATGCTTTGGGAACAATAGATATAGTAGTCTATGAGGACGGGCCCCTGGGAAGGGTCCCCCAGTAGGAGGCATCTCCCAGGGCCTCAGGGCAGGTGGGGCCTGGGCTTTCCTATTTGCCCTGGAGTTGCAATTTCTCAAGTCCCTCTGTGACCACAGAAGGTTGGGTGAGCTGGTGTGGTCAAGTCTGGAGCAGTGAGGATGGCCCTGAGGTCATCACTAACCTCAACCCCAGCCTCAGACTCTAGCTCATCACCAGGGGCTCCTCTTTCTGAGGAGCAAACAGCCGGTCATCTCCCTCACCCCCCCTCACGCTCGCCCTCGCCGCTTGGGGACTGGCTGCAGCGTTCGCCCTGAGAGCTGGTGGAAATCCTCAGTGAGCAGCCGGGGTGCTGGGGAGGGCAGCCCTAGCCTGTGTGGGAGCTCTGGTAGAAAAGAGACCATCCTGAGAGACGGCACCATGTTCTCGCTCTTTCCCGGGTGTGCGGACACAGTGGTGGTTTCTCTCTGGCTGCCGGCTAGGGAAGGGGAGGGAGATTATCGTGGCGGTGGCCTGGGAGCCATGCTCCCTCTGCCCCCACGCCAGGAGCACCGCCTGCCACTGCTCTCACCGAGGCTCACTTGAGAGAGGGTCATCCTTGATCTTCTCGTGTTTTTAAATTTAATCACCCGGTTTCCCCCAAATCCTATTATGGTGCTCCCTCCCCTAGTGCAGAGGATCCCTGGTGGCATTGCCCAGAACCACGCTCTGGGCTGCTAACCATAAGGTCCGCAGTTCAATCCCATCAGCCTTCCAAAGGAGAAAGGTGAGGCTTTCCGCTCTTGTAAAGCGTTACAGCCTCAGAGCCCCATAGGGGCAGTGCGACTCTGTCCTATAGGTTGCTGTGAGTCAGAACGCCCGTCTGGCATGGTTTGCCCCAGTCCTCAACCAGGTCCTCTGTACACGGCTGGTGCCCCCTGCGAGTTCCAGAGATAATGTCCCCCTGACGGTTTCTGGGCCAGAGTTGGGCAAATTGCTGTCACCTGACCTTGTTGATCAGCTGCCCCTCCGTCAGGGTGTGACTACACCAGGCCCTAAGTACCAGCTCAGGGGCGGCATGCACCTGAGTGCCTTCCAAAAGACCCCTCCACTCCCCTGCTTTTCTTGCACCCCGGGAAAAGAGCAAGAACAGTGCAGCCATCTCCCAGGCCAGCATTAGCTTCCCAAGTCCCAGATCCCAGATCCCAGCCCCTCCCCTGGGACTAGCACCAGCTCCAGCCCCCACCAGAGGACTGGGAGTAGAAAGGACCTTCCAAAAGACAGACTCAGTTACCATGTCTTGAAATCTCTAGGAATGCGCCTCTAGGAGAAGGCCTTTTAAGGATGAACTTGAATTTGGCATGCTTGCCATCAGGTAGAGTCACACGGCCTCTGAGCCACAGTCCGAGCGCCCCATCCACATGGCATCATTTTCCTTCTCCGTTGCCTTTTCTCGATCCTCAGCAGGCCTCCCCTCCTTGTTCCCTCCCAGCCATGCTCAGAGTAGCGTCTACTGCCCTTGCCCACCCAGCTGCGCTTGGAACACCCCCTCCCTGGCAGGTCTGCATAGGTCCCAGCCCGGGGTGACCTGAGGACCAGTGGAACCCACTCTGTCAGGTGGGGTAGTGACTCAAGGTCCCTGACCAAGACTTGGTTTCCCCCGGAGCCTGACAAGAGGAGTGGCTTGGAGAGTGTTGCTTCTCTTTGTGCGTCCGACCCCATAGCCATTCTACGATGTAGCGGCTTCTATCCTGACTTTACAGATGAGGAAACTGAGGTGCCGAGAAGTCGGGTCCCTTGTGCAAGGTCGCACAGCTCACAGGTGGCAGTGCCAGGCTTGGAGCTCAGTCAGTCTGGTTCCAGAATGCAACCTCCTAACTCCACTGCCTTGGTATCATCCTGGGCACTAGCTCTGAATCAGTTTCATTTGGCTTTGGCTCTCCCCCCATTCCCCAAATGTGAGACGGTAGTCAAATGCATGGTCTCGTGAGGACCTGGCATTGCTGTGTGCCGGAGGGCCCGTGATGGTGAATACCTCCGATGCCTACCTGCAACCTTGTGAGGTTTCCACTGACGTGGGGGAGGAGCCAGGGGACATCACACACACCTCGGGGGTACACTCACACAGTTGTCAGGGACTCCAGAATCCTCCAGCCTCCGTGCTCAGGTGTAAGAACCCTTTGTCCTAGACCATGAGCAGAGGGGCAGCTTCTAACACCCTGTGGGCCCTCCTGGGGGCTGCCTCCCAATCCCTTGGCTCTGATGGTCCTCTTGTTTTCTCCATCTTTCATTAGACCTTAAAGGTTAAGGGAGTGGACCGCACTCCCTACCTGGGGGATGTAGCTGTGGTTGTACATCCCGGGAAAAAAGAGATGGGAACGCCACTCGCAGACACTCCTACCCGGCCAGTTACCCGACATGGGGGCGTGAGGGACCTTCATGAATCCAGCTTCAGCCTCTCTGGTAAGAGCAAGGACCACGGTGCTTCCCCCCACAGTGAGGCAGTGGGGTGGAGGGAGGAGAGGCCACCCCAGGCAGTGGGACTTACGCCTGCTTCTCCTTTTCCTCCTCTCTCTCTCTCTCCCCCTCCCTCCCTAGTCGATGTCCACTGAGTGTTTGGGGTCCATTGGAGGAGAACAGATGATCTCCTGGCCTCTGGGACACGAGCTGCCCAGACAAGCCTGGGCCAGTCTTGAACTCTATCCACAGTTCTTAAATTCAGAGCTCTTTGTCCCATGAAACACCTTAGGGGCCCTGAGTCCAGGGGCTGTCCCAGAAACGATCTGCATTCCAAAGAAAAAGCCCTCTCTGGGGTCTGTAGGACCCCACCCCCTTAGCCACCTCCCCCCCACTGTCCATCCCCGCCCCTTGCCAGCCTCTCCAAAAAACCTGCCTCTCCTCCCTCTGATCTGTCTACGCCTGATCCACTTTTGCCCCTCCTCTGCCTTCACCAGGAATTGCACTACACAACCTTAACCCTCTTGTGACCCATGGGACCTATATCACCCACCAACATTTTCAACTTCTCAGGTTTCTTGGGAAACTGCTCTCCCAATTGTAGTTTGTGCTACCACCTGACAGAGACCTGCAGGGATCTGAAAACACGGGCCTCGGCCCACCAATCCTACCACAACTCCACTTGGGACCTGTGTGCCCCACATCTTTGTATCACAATCCATATCCCTTCCCCCTTCCTAACAACAACAAAAAGGTATTTCTACCTTGATTGCACCATGGCTTCCATGATGGAAAAACCGTGGTATCAGCAAAACAATTCAAAGCAGAAAACCACTCAGCTGTGAAAGGGCTAAGTAAACACAAATGATTTCTCTTTGACTTCTAACTCTCAGCCTCTTCCTCCCTTATCTTTCTGTCCTTTGGGTCATGTCCTGGCCACACAGTGCATCAGTAGAGCCTCTGGGCTCCTGGGATGTGCCCGGTTCTACCTGCCAGGGTCTCCTACTCCTGTGGCCTCCCGGAGCCTCAGGCTCCTCTCAGCCATGGCTGTCTGTGCACGGGGACTTTGTTCTTGTCAGTGGGACACCGTGCGGGCATTAGAGAGGGAGGACCACTGTCCCTCAAGTTCTTGACCCCAGAGGAGAATGAGCAGGGCTATCAGGCACCCTGGTCCTTCAGGCAGAGCAGGTGGAAACCATCACCACCATTTCAAGGGGCAGGCGCCCAAATCTTTCAGTTCCCCAGGAGCCGAGCTGGTTGGTTCGGGGATGCACTCGGATAGAGCCCGAGTGGCAGCTCACAAGTTCTGGACTGGGAGCTGAAACTTCGAGAGGGACAAGGGCTTAGTCCTCATGCTGGACACGTGGAATCTACTGGGAGAAATGAGAGCATTCTAACTGGAGGAGTCCCAGAGGGAGGGAGCCCCTGCTAAGCTTCTGCTGTGCCTGTTCTTGGTCGGAACTGAGGTGCTTAGAGTCTGGGGCTGGGGGGCCCTCTCTCCACTGTGCTCCTCTGCCTCAGAGCCGAACTTATTAAGGAGATGCTCCCCCGGGGCCCTGGGGCCACTGTTGCTCCCACCAGGGGAGGTGTCCACTAGGCCAGGTCCCAGGGGTACAACTCCCACAGCTGCCTTGACTAGCCCCTGCAACAACCCCTACCCCCACCCCAAGAGACAACAAGGTCCCCCAAACCATGTGGCTCCCACAGGCCAGCAGCTGCCCCTGCTCCTTCCAGAGTGGGCAGAGTGACTGGGCAGAACACGCCTCATTCTCCAACGGGCCCCAGGCAGTGACCCCCTGCACTCTGCCCCAACCCTCGTTTGTTCTAGGGCAGGGGTGGAGGGCCTTTTCCCTTTCAAAGACCATGTGGCATTGATCACCTCCTCCCGGGGCCACTCAAAATGATCAACTTAAAAATTAGCCTGACGGAGTAGCTGCGGCTGCGTCTCTTTGGTGAGGCATGTGATGTTGGCTGGTGGTCATGATGTCATGCCCCACCCTCCCCTGGAGAAGGCCCCACTGTCTCCCTGAAGCACTGGGCCCTCCCTCCATTTCTAGCTAAGTCTTGGGCTCTCCAGTTCCAGCAGCAAAGGAACGCCCACTCTCTCCCTCCTTTCCCCAGCCCTGAGGTATAGGCACCCGGAAACCCAAGGCTTGGGAGGCAATAAAGGCTGCCTGGTGGACAATTAAATGTCCAGAAGCAGGAAGCTGTAGGTTCACATCCAGACTCTGCCACTTGGAAATTTGTGTAGCTGTGCAACAGTGGGCCAACCTCGGGACTTCCCTGAGCCTCAGTTTCCTCATCTGTACAAGGGGGGAGCATCGCTGTGAGGATTGAATTAGATAGAGGCTACTCCCCTGGCTGGGCATGCCCCTGGGCCTCCAGTGACTGGTGGGGGTGGAGCGGGGGCACCTTACTCACCTGTCTGCTTCCTCCCTGCAGGTTCTCAGATCGACGACCATGTTCCAAAGCGAGCTTCGGCTCGGATCCTTGCTCCCCCCGGAGGCAGGTCAAGCGGCATTTGGTAAAGGCACTGACCAGCCCCCCAAGTGAAGACGCACCGCCGCCACCACCCCACACACCTTCCGGCCATCGCAGGGGCCGGAGAGGCTGGGCTGGGCAGCTCACCACCTTTGGGGGGGGCGGGGGGGAGCCCCACAGACTGGGGAACCCTTCCTACGTCTGGAGTGTACTTCACTGTGCTTCACGCCAACCCTAACAGGCACTTTGAAATGTGTTCTTCCTGCTGTAGTCCTTTCCTGCCTCGGCCCCAGCAGGGTTTTCTGGGGGCCAGGACCCCCACACTATGCACAGAGCCCGATGCATAGGCCCTAGCCCAACCCCTCCCCGGGAACTCCCAGGCTCCTGTGCCCCCTCCAGGCTGACCGCTCCGCAGCTTCGGGCTCTCAAAAGCACGGGCTCCCTTCCCCACCCCCTTAGGCCCAGGGTGGCATTTGCCAGATCCGGGAGGGCGTTTGCTTCCCGCCAGCCATGCCCGGGACACCCTGTTCTTCCTGATGCACCCCTGGCCCCGAGTGGGTGTGGTGGGGACTCCCTGCGCCCCTCGCCGGCTTCTCCTCCCCGTCTCCGTGTCCTCTGGGAGTCACAGACCAGGAAGGGTGGGCTGGACGGTGCGAGGCTGGTGCTAGGTGCGTGTCCATGGTTTTGTTTTGCACGTTTGGTTTGCGCAGTGGTTTGGTTTGACTTGTTTGTGCATCCTGTGGGGAAAACAAAAAACAAAAACAATACAAACGGTGCTTCGTGTCGCTAGCATAGCATAGAAACAGGAATAGATGTGGTCGTAGAAGATGCTGCACTCCACCCCAACCAGACAACCCCGGGCGGGGCGGGGCGGGGAGGAGGACTCACAGCCCTCCTCTCCCCACCTGCGCTCCTCCCGCCTGCCACCAGAGCCCCTAACCCACCCCCTCTCTCCTCACTACCACCCTCTCCGCCCAGTCTGAGAAGGTGCCTGGGATGCTGGCCACTGGGGGACCAGGGAGCAGGTAGGCTTCCTCTTCTCTGTGCGGACCCACCCATCCCTCTGCTTCCTGTAACTGTTCCCTACTGGACTGCTGGCCATGCCTCCTGTGTGATGGCCAAGGACCCCCCTATCCCCCCACTGACTGCTCAGAGAGGGGGAGTGGAAGAGGGGCTGGATGGGTGCCAGAGGAGAAGCCAGGCTGGCAGAGCCCAGCAGCCCACCCCACCCCCCATCAGCGTGTGGTCCCCCTCGTCCAGGTGGTCTCCGTCCACCCTGAGGGAACTGGGGTGTGGCTCAGCCTAGGCCCGCCCTATGACGCCTTGTCTTCACCTGGCAGAAGGGGTCTCGCGTTGCACGTTTGGTTTGAGCACCCAGCCTTGCATGTAGCTCCCAGACACTGAGCCCCTGCCCCCCGGACCCTGCCCCTGGCCCTCTCGCGTGGTCCCCGTGTCCGAGCGTCTGTGTGCACGCTCCCAGGGGGTCTCCGAGAAGGGCGGATGGTGGCACGCCCCCTGTTGCACAGCTGAGGGAAGCGAGGCCTCCAGACTCCAGAAGGGTCCGTGACTCCCCCTTACAGACTCGGCTGCCCACCCCAGCTGTGGCGTGATTTCTGTTGCAGACCTCCAGCTGTAAGACATATCCCCTTGATAGGCACTTCCGCCGTGTTTGCACAGGTTGATCGATTTCTCTCACCTTTGGAGCCCACAGACTAATGCATCTTCTCTGTTCAAGCCAGGACTCAGTACACGCCAGGGGGGCCAGGAGGGGGTGGGGTTGCCCTGGGCTTTGAGCTGCTTCCACAGTTGCCCTTCTATCATCATGCCGACTCGCTTCCCTTAGTGGCTGGGAGTCCAGAGGTGGTAGCCCACGGAACAGACACAACACTACGGCTCGTGGAGGGTGGCAGTCATGGGACAGGAGGTAGGGCCAGGACACCAGCCCCTGGCAAGATGGGCATCGTCCTGACCCTTCAACCCCCGCCGCATCCCAGGCCTTGGGCAGATGCCCAAGAGCAGCTGCGCAGTGGGTCAGCTCTGCCTTCTCGGAGGTCCTCCCAGCGGGGGTGGTCGGAGAGAAGCATGGTCCCCAACACTGGGAGACCATGCCTGGGCGCGGTCCACTCCAGGACTTTCTCTTCCTCTATCCCCAGCCCATACCTGCCTAGAATCCCACCTTTGCCCCGGAGCTTCCAAATGGAAAATCAGGGGGAAGTGCAAGGAACCAAATGACTGGTCGGCCTCCACCCCCCACTCCTTGCCCCGACCCAGCTGACTCCAGGTCGGTCTGGAAAGGGTCTCTGGTTGCAGTGAATGCAGCTCTCGAACTGGTCTTGTACATGCTAAATAAATACTGTCGTTCCTGCCGTAGCTGCTCTCTAGGTTTGTGGAGTTACCAGAAAGAAAATTAATAATAATAATAATAATAATAGTTGTGCTCGTGTGCGTGTGTGTGCGCATGCGCGTGCGTGTGTGTGTGTGTGTGTAGGGCTGGGGGGCCACAGTCGGTCTCTGTCAAACCAGTACTGAGATGAGGCCTTTTCCAGCACTGACCCAGAAACCACAGAGCCACGCGGCAGCACCAACCCCCATGCAGCTGCCCAGGAGCAGGCACAGCCTGCGGTCAGAATGAGCCTCCAGGACCCAAGTGACTTCCTCTCCCCTCTGTCAATGTCATGGTGCTAAGACTGTGTCGACCCCAGACGACACAGGGTCCTTCCTAGCTGCGGTTAAAAACAAAACACCCCGACACGTGTTCTGGTGCAGGCTTGTATTAAAGGGTAGCTACTTCTCACTTGGTCTCCGCTGTGTTTCTTCAGAGAAGGGGGACCTTGGCCGGGGACCTCTTCTCTGGTGGGAGTGAGGGAGGATTCGGGTTCTGAGAAAACTCAACTTTGCTCCATCCCTCACTGGGAAGCCTGAGCAGCATGTGGGGATTTGGGGGACGATGGAGAGGGGGGCGGGAGAGAAGGTTGATGAACAGGAGTCTCAGGCCCGAAGGCAATCAGGGGATCCTCTCAATGGAGAGCCCAGCAGTTTGGGTGGACTCATGTCTTGGGACAAGGCTGTTGAGCTCTCTAGAATGGGGGGAATTCATAGGAAGTACTAGACACTAGATACAAAAGGGGGAGACAGGCTCCCCACCACCTGCTCTTTGACACCTGTTCTCCTGACAGCCCTTTTGGATGTCCAGAGTCTCCAAATAGCCGAGCCCTTGGCTCATAAACTAGATAGCCTTATAAAGTTATATGACATAGGACTGTCCCCAAGGCCAATATGTCTGAAGGGCCTTGGCTACTCTCTGGCTCTCCAGAACCCCATCTTTGAGATGGTCCACTGTACCCTTCAAACTCTTAATAAGATGCCTGTTTGATCACTTGATCAAATGCTTACCATAAAACCACTAGCCTGAGTCAGCTCCAACTTAGGGGACCCCGTGTGTGTCAGTAGAACTTGGTCCCGAGAGATTCTCAATGGCTCATTTTTCAGAAGTCCGTCTCCAGACCTTCTGACGAGCACACGGGTGGACGCCAACCTCCACGCTCAGGTTAACAGCTACGCACATGAACCGTTTGCATCACCCAGGTAAGCCTTCTCTTTAAACCACAACCCAAGCTCACTGCCATTAAACTGTGCTTTCAGGACTATCAGTCATTTATACTTATTTCTTCACTTAAAAAAAATCCCCCAATGAAGAAATTTGGTGGGGGCAAGGGGGGGTAGTGCGATGAAAGTAGTGGCAGGCGAAGGAACTTTCCCAGCTCTCTCCAAAGAAGCAGCCCTCCCACGGCTAAGGGGCTCGGCCTGCAAGAAAGCCCCCAGGAGCAGGTGGGACCCAGTGTTAAGCTATAATGAGCAGGCGCTATATGTTTAAGCTGTGGTGGCACTTCTAAGCCAAAGATGAGTAGAACCTCCCATCCTGAGAATGCCAGGTCCCCGGGATGGTACTGGGTCAAAGTGTCCATGGTACCATTTTCCTAGTCAAAGCACAAGTGTATGTATTCACTGCCAAAAGCCCATGTCAGTGCTGAGATCAAAAGTACGCTGGGTGCATGGTCTCATCCAGTCTAGAGGAAAACACAGGAGGAGGTGCCCAGAAAGAGGCTGGCTGCCTTTCACATCATCCTGAGAAATAAACAACCCCAGTCTCAGACTTGAAAATAACACATGATCATTTATGAGTGTCTGTATGGGGGGGTGGGGGTAGTGGGGGTATGCACCGCTGGCAACTAGGCAACTATTCACCTCAATTTTTGTAACTCAGAATTTCAAGTTTACACGTATACACAAGTACAAGCTAACATCAAGGGTTGCCTGGTGGCGAAAGGCCTTTGTGATGCCCAGGTATGAAAACATAGGAGGTAGACTTTAGATTAGAGAGAAAAGCCCAAACCAATCAACCACTGCCACCACCAAGTTGATCCCAACTCTAGTAGACCGGATAGTGGGATAAGAAATGGTTATTGGACAGTGGTTGGTGGCACACACATTTTTGAGAGAACTCAGTATCTTGACAGTAACAAGAATCAGGCTCTATTGACACTTCCTCCTGACTTAAAGATGGAAGCTGATTACCTTCTTTCCCTTGTGAATTTACAAACCACATGGACCTTCTGCCCTGCCTGGTTTGCTCAAAGCCATTTGTCTCAGGATCATTAAGAAGAAATTCACTCGAGAAATGCCCTGGCTTGGACAATAAGTCATGTGGTCACTCTATGCATGTCATTATTAGACCTACTATTCTTATACAGAGATTGTGTTTTTTCCCATCACGAAAGACAAAGACAGGGACACAGGAGTTAGATGAGTCCTTCTGTGGTGGACAGTGATGGAGGGATCTCCCAGGCACCTTACAAGCCCTGAGTCTCCATGCAACTCGAGGCTTTGTGAGGTCGGCTCTGTGATCAGTGAATGCCTCAGAGTGGTGAGGGGCTTTGCTCTGGTCAGGGAGTGCTTTTCCAAGCGTTTCCATTTAGCTTGGGTGCCACGGAACAGATTCCAACTCACTGCGACCTCACGTGGCAGAGTCGTACTGCCCCTTCAGGTTTCTGAGGCTATACATCTTTACGGGAGCAGAAAACTTCAACTTTCTCCTGTGGCGCCACAGGTAGTCGAACTACTGACCTTGCAGTTAACTGCCCAACACATAACCCACTATCGTTACCGGCCACTGTGCCGTCAATGCGCCTTGCTTGGCTGATCAAAAACAAGCACTGCCAAGGAGACCACTCTGACTCATGGCGACCCTGTAAGGCAGGGTGGAGCTGCCCTTGTGGGGTTCTGAGACTGCAGCGCCTACGGTGGTCTCGAACTGCTGACCTTGCTGTTAGCAGCCCAACATTTAACCCCTATGCCACCAGGACTCCTCTACTTAGCGTACAGACCTTACTGCTTCTTTTTTTTTAATTAATCATTTTATTGGGGGATCTTACATGTATTATAACAATCCATACATCCATTATATCAAGCGGACATGTACAAATGTTGGCATCAACAATTTCCAAACATTATCTTTCTTCTTGAGCCCTTTGGTACCAGCTCTTTTATTCCCTCCCTCCCCCACCCTATCACCCCCGAGAACCCTTTATGTATTATGTATTGTTAGGATTATTGATACATATCTTAGACCTACTGTCCTGGTATTTGTCCCCCTCAAAAGGGGTTATTCCACCATGATTGCTATCCGTTCCTCCTTCCCCTCTTCTACCTCCTTCCACCCCCTTCCCCCTTCCTCTACCCTCCTGAATTGTTACTCCCATTACTGGTTCTAAGGGGCTTTGTCTATCCTGAATGCCATATATTGAAAGCTCTTGTCTGTCCTGGTGTATGTGCACCGTGACCTTATTATTTCATTAAAAATCATGTCTACTGAATTTCAGTACTTGCCTTTTGGGGTGTGCATGGTGAAAGACATAAAAATTCTCATCCCTGAGATTTAGGATATTTCTGATGTGCAAGTATCAAAAAAATAATAATAATACTTAACCAATCAGTAGCCCTGGAGGTAAGTCGACCCAAGGTGGCCTCAGGCGTGTCTGAGTAGAAGAGTTCTTCTTGGGCTTTTGATGGCTGCCTTCTGAGAACTAAATTGCCAGACCTTCCAAGACACTCTGAAGATTCAGAGCATCAGCCTTTCCAAATGTTAATCATGTGTGCCACCCAGAGATCTGATACGGCCAGCAGGACCATCTCATTCCAGAATCTTTTCCTGGCCCTAAAAGGAAACCTGTACCATTGATCCCTATTCACCCCTCCCTCCCGTCCCTGGCAACCACGTATTAGCTTTCAGGGTCTACACATTGGCCTATCCTGGGCACTGCATAACAGTGGAATTATTCAACATTAGCTTTCATTAGCATAAGAAGTTTTCCAGGTCCATGCATGTTGTAACGTGTGTGTGGCGTGTGATCACCTCAAAATTCCAGCAAAAATGAAACTAGTAGGATGAGGACTCCCCCCAACGGTATGAACCCCTCTGTTTGAATCTGGCCAGGCCAGACGCCTGAGACGCGACATGTTGGTCAATGAGAGGCGATTTTCATTACAGTCAAGCAGCATCCATAGGAAAGGCTCCGTGAGGTGCAGTCCAGGTGGAAATGGGGTTCTCCTCCATGTGCTGGCCCCACTCTGCATGGCAGGCGAGGGGCCTGAAGTCCCTCCCTCCATCAATTTTTAACTCCAGGGGCTAGGAGACATTCATATGTGTGTAATAGAGAACTTTATATCAAAGAGTAATTGTATATTAAGAAAACATCTCAGCCCAGTCCAGATCAAGTCCAGAAGTCCGATATTAGCCCACATGTCCGCTAGCAGTCTATGAATTCCTCTTAGAAGACTCACACAACACATGCAATGATGCTGACCGCAGGAAGAAAGCTGAGTCAGTGAATGTGTAAGATCTCAGTGCTGGCAGGGGTCTCCACACGGCTGCTCCAGCACCCAGGGCTGCATCAGGGTAGGTCCATGTGCTTCTCCTCAGGGATGTCTCATAGGTACTGAAGCAGGGAACTGGCTAAGGCAGCTGCACCCTGGTCCAACCATCACAAAACAAGACACCTGGGAACCAGAAAGGCGAGGCTCACCGAGCCATTTATCCCTCCGCCCTTCAATGAATCCCACATGTGTTTATCGGCCAGGTTGGCACAATAAACCTTAACTGTCTCAGTGGGTCTCCACATGACTCCTCCAGCTCCAGGCCTCTGGTTCCTTCATTGTCCCTCCATGTGTCTTGTCCACCGAAAGACCAAGCAGAGAGTGTGGGTCTCGCTTCCAGGGAGCTATTTATCTCCTTAGTGCCCCCAAATGAAGTCATCAAGCTGCGACATGATTGACAGGCTAACCTCCACCCCTCACTCGAGTAGTCTCAAGTTGACACCAGGTTATGTAACTACCACAAGTGACTCATGATGAGAAGCCCAATGACCTGGCCTGACCACCTAAGGGGGAGTGCTTAGACGTGCTGATGCCTCTGCTGAACTTTTATGTCTTGCCCTGCTGATTATTTCAGCCAATGTTTCCCATTACTCCTGCCCCAGGTGGGGCAGGGGGGGCGTGCACTGGAATGCTCAAGAGAGGCTGCAAAAGCAGGTTCTTAAACTTTTTGTACTCTGGGGGCGGTCATTGGGTAACTTTTTTTTCTGAAAAGGGGGCGGCAGGCCAAATAAGTTAGGGATCCTATGCTTTAGAAAAAGCACTAGGCTCCAGGCAAAGGGTGGAGGTGGGAGCCCTTGTAGCCTAAAGACCCCGGGAGGGGCAAGACCTTAGCCACTGGGCTTGTCGCAAGGACTGCCTCCT